GGGGAGACTTGGTTTAATTTTTTTAATTTTAGGCCTGAACACTAACTTGATATTGACTATTCCTAATGTTGTCATAAAAATGTCACCATCCTAAATTTTAGGCCTTTTTAAAGTTGTTCACCAAACCAACTAAAAACTACAACAATTTAAAAGCAACAGTCATGCCATCCACTGCTTTTAAAGGACAAAGAGATGTATACTCAATATAAGGTGAAAATATCATTTTTTTAAATAAAGCAGGCATTTTAAAATTCACTTGGGTAACTGGTATGAGCAGGCCTATTGGAACCCGAAACTAAACAAAATCAATTTTTACATCAGCAGTTTGCAAAAACCAAAGTTTTGTTCCTTAGCAAGAAGTTCTTAACTGCACACACACCAAAAAACACCCCACCAAACCAGAAACCACCGTGCACATTTTTGGGGTCTTTTTGCCCAATAAACTAGGTGCTTGATCCTACCTACCCATCTGACTAAGGAGCAAAATAACCTGAGAAAAGGTTATCCATGAGTCAAAAATCTATCTTTTGAATAAAAAATCTTGGGTTTAGCATCCCTTGAGGTTTAGCATCCCAGAGTGGGTACACGCTACCCCCATTCGCTTATATGGGGGACAGCACTGCAACGAACTCTAGTACTAAATATAACCTCTTTGAACTCACCCATATTAGTAGTAATAGTGTGGTCAGTCGGTGGAGCATTATAGGTGTTGATATCATGGCTGGCAAGGCGTTGCCACGTCCGCCCAAGACCATTATGCCACACACAAAGATCCTTCTCAAAGTCACACGAGCCTTCTATTTTGCCACACGCCCCTTCTGAGATGACAATGTCATCAATAGCAATATCACTTCCAATGCCGTTACCAATATGGACGTGAAACACCAACTGAAATAAGAAGTACAAACATGTAAGTTCTATTGAAAGTGTGAGAAAATAGTATCTCATCCCTTCTAACCACAGGCCTGCACAACATGAAAATAAGGTAGGTGTCTGTGGTGTAGCAGTTATTCCCTTTGCACTCACGTGCAGAAAACATCAGTTCAATTTCTATGTGGGCGGGTTTTTATCGAGTATCTTCATATCTGTGCTGGGACATTGTTACCATCTCAGCCTGGGCGGTCAACAGGCAGGACTGTAGCAGCCCATCTCCTTAACTCTTTAACTTCAGGGGGGGGGGGGGGGGGGGTAAACCCACTACGCTGGGGCCCTTTTTTTAAACTAAAACTAAAAATGACAAAAACATCATTAAATGGGTCATTAAATCGAAACAAGTGAACTTATTTTGATAGTTCTTCATCTAATGAATGAACTCCCCATAAAAGACACTGCTGGGAGCGGCTTGCCGGAGATAAGAAGTTAATAATCTGAAATCGTGTTGATCGGGGCATAAACTTTTTCAATTACCTTTTTAAAATAATTCCTCTCATCGACAATTACTCAAAGTTAACACAAACAAAGACCAAAAAATAAAGAAAACAAACAAGCCCAGCAAATAGAAATACTGGGACAAACACCACCGCCACTGTTTCAAAAAACAAATGCTGCCCCCCCCCCCCCCCCCAAAAAAAAACCCAACAAAATCAAAGAAAAACCTTAACAACAAAAATGATTGACAACAAGAAATCCAGGAAGATGCACAGACCACCACAGCTAGAGAATGAATCTTACACCATCATATGAACCACCTATGTAAAGTAATTTATTTTGAACAATGCAGAATACGGTAATTTAATGTCAACATAATATCTTGGCCTCTGAACTATTTTGTCCAAAGTGCCTCTTTACTTAAGTACACTTTGGACAAAATAGTTCTGAGGCAATGATATCTTGGTGAAAATTCAATTAAGGGGACTCCTGAGGTCTGGAAATACTGTGGTCACCTCTCATAAAATAGGTCCCAGGTTTGAAACATGACAGTGACAAAAAATTGTTCTCCTTTCACCTCCTTTGTTGATCTCAAGACATGTTCTGTCACCTGCTTTTATCTCCACTTACTTCCCATCGCACCCACCCCCCCCCCTCCACCCACCCCGGCCTCACGGCTCCTCTCTCCTTTACTCCTGGCTCTTTCTACATGTACTGCTCCTCCTGGCTCCTTCTTACTGCTGTCTTTCAGCCACACCCCTGATCTTAGGGGAGATATGGTCAAACATCTAGCCTTTTTTGGATTAGCGCCAAAAATCTTGGAGATCCCATGCAAAAGTTGCCAATGTTAAAGACCTCTTGGAGGTCCTAAAATCGATAAGAGTATGCTTCGGCAACCACCAAGCAAAATTAAAAAATTAATTCCTACCAAAACTGACAATACTCTAATCAGTATAAAACCATATATCGAGTACCTTGAAAGTTAGAATGTGGCTGCCTGAAGGCACGGGGTCCTACTATGTAATAAAATGTGGTAACATAATATGTAAAATTCAGTTGCACTGCAGGTTGAAGAACCACAATGAACTACCCCTCAGATCTGGCAGAGGAGCCAAAGGACAACAGATATTTGATAGGAATGAAGGGGCAAACCACATCAGAGAAATCACCCAAAAATTCTAATCAAGAACAAGGAAAACCCAAGGGAAAACCAAACATAAAAAGACCAAACCCAAATCACAGTCAGATTTAGTCCTTCGTCAAATGACGTCATTTTTACCTGCCATGAGGTTGAACTGACAACTGTCACTTCATTCCTCAACCACTGATCCTTATTATCTGTATGAGTAGAGAGAAGCCAAGGATGACCGTTGGTTGCTATAACCCGCAGAGTGCCAATGTCCTGTCCAAACATATGGTACCAATAGGAAACACATTGACCAGCTGTAGCAGGACGCGACTTGCCAGTGAGGTTGTAATTACCACCATTTACATGTCCTGGTGACGATGCCTCAGTGTACATGTAGTGACCTGGGAAAAACAAGAAAACAAAACAGAGCCAAATGAGATCAACTGTGTAATGAATGGGGGGGGAGGGGGGGGGTCATTTCTTAAACTTGAGTGCTTCGAGGTATCAAACGATTATTTTTCCAACTTAGGCACTGACTTTGTTCTGAGTTTTTACGTTTGTATATGTAATTGTTCGACACAAAATTGTAGAACATACTTTGCTCCTTTAACTTATGGCAGACTGTTGAAGATGAAAAAAGAAAACATAATTTGACTGGAACCATAAGTTAGCCACTTTAAAACACTAACGTAAAAGGAGAAGAAGAAAGAAAGCAGAAAAAAATCATCGTCATCCATTGCCAGATCAGCGACAGACATCGGCGATCATGGTTCTCAAATCATTCCTTTGCTCGGATGCTCTCAAAAAAGCTACGTTTCCCTGATCTTTCCCTGTTACCCATTTGTTTAGGTTCCCTAAGTATGTTGTTCTGGGCCTGCCACGGCCTCGTTTGCCCTCAATTTTGCCAAAAAAGAATAGGAAAACAAAAAGCAGAAATGAAGAAACAAAAAGTTGAATGCAACAAAGTTATGACTCAGAGAATGGGAGAAGGAATGACAGTGAACAGAGAATGAGAAGAAATAAAAAAAGAGGAAAGATGTATGGTTCGCTCCAATCAACATCATACAACAATACATCTTTATAATGTAGTGCCCAAACTTTTTTCCATAACCTCTGCTGGTGAAAATTAATATAGTATCTTAAAAAGTAATGCTTCCATGTAATATTTGTGCTTCTTGCATTTTGACAGGAGTTAAATGTTCAATTTTTACTGCCTGAGAGACAATCAAGAGAAGTGAAAAAATCCCAACTTTGACACTGCGCAGGTTCACATAGAGGTATATGAAAAAGTAACTTCAAACCCTCTTAAAACTTAAATCTTTATGACAGCAACTTCCCCTGTAACAAGCCTTCTAACAGACCACTTGAAGATGTAGAAGAATTAAGTCACCCCATTTCTTTCTAGTGTGTCCAAACATTTCACATGGGGTTTTCGTGGTCTAGAGGTTAAGGTGTTCGTCTCTACTTCAATAGGTCCCCTGTTTGAATCCGGAAAGCAACAAAAAGTTTCCTTCTCTAAAATGTTCTCCTTTCACATCCTCTCCTGCTCCATAACAATATTCTGTCGTCTGCCTTTCATCTCCACTTTCTGCCCCAACCCCTTCACCTCCTTTACCCTCTCCTCTGGGCACCACATTCTTTCTGCAGCCTTTCTATTGCTACTCCTTGGCTCCTTCTTACTGCTATCTTTCAGCCCCATCCCTGATCTTATGGTAGGTAAGATCTACACCTAGCCTTCTCGGATAAGGGTGAAAAATATCTGAGGTCCCGAGCGCAAGTTGCACATGTTAGAGATCCCTTGGAAGTCCAAAAACTATAAGAGTAGGCTTCGGTCACCATCCGAGCCAAACTCAAAATTTGCAGCTAACTGAAAATGTGTAATGTGTCCAGAACGCTAATATGACCTTATGCAGTCGCAAGCGCCGTAAAACACTTACAAAAAACAAAAACAAAAAACATTTCACAGTATTGCAATGTTTTAGTTTTTCTATGGACCTCCCTGACGTATATATCCCATCAACAGTGGACCAAACGCAATGTTGCAGCACATTTTAAACAATTGTAAGAAAATCAGAAATATGAATTTGTGTATCTCATAGCTTGAATGAAGTTGCCTGCCTTTTTAAGTTTCAGGTAAATAAAACAGAATTGAAAAGTCTGTAAGTATATGAGGAGTCCACGGGAAAGCGGAAATAGTGAAATAGTCACAAACTGAATATCTTGAGGGTATCAATTTTGAACGCTTAAATTGTTGACTCATAACTGTATTTCTGTTCAACTGTTGGTTCAATATGAAGTTATGAGTCCACAAGCTTTTAACACTGACACCCTCACAATTTCCAGTTTGTGACTATGCCCTTTTTTCTCCGTTGACTCCTCGTATAGAAGTTATGCTTCTCTTAGTTTGAGGAAGAGTTTTACGGCACTTCCAGCACAAGAAGACCACATAAGTGCTGAAGATTAAAGGTGTTACTAGAAATAAGTAACATTCACAAAAAAGAAGGAGATATCAGGATGATGGATATTTGAAAGGAAAGAAGGAACAAACCACACCACAGCACCCACTAACTACCTGTAGTAGAGTAAAGAACAAGCAGATGAGAAAACAAGTACAAACCGGCGGAGGTGCCATAGGTGTGGTCTGTTTTAGGTCCAGTGCCCACAGTGGGTGTAGAACCGGTCATTCGTCTCCAGATATATGAGCTTGGTTGATAATCACAAAGACCAGTCTCAAAATTACATCTATCTGCAGTCTGATCTGTAGCTGTATGAAACAAAAGAACACAAAATTCGCTTTATTATGTGACACAACGAAGCGGAATTATCAGGGGCTTGTCAATATTGGGGCATATGGAGTTATAGGTATCATATTAATGCCTATCCATTTGCCATGCTTTTGATGGAAAAATATCCATTTAATTTTAGTATAATTCAAGATATTGGCAATTGAAGGAGGTGGAAGTCACCTGGTTTCAGAGGTAAAATTAGCGAGAAAATGGCTGCCAAAGTTGCAATGATTCCTTAGATTGAGAGTCCATGGAAACTGAAAATTTTCATCTTTTATGCCTTTAATCAATGTTTTCCAGTAAAATCCACATAAAAAAGTGTTACTCAATGGTCATGGAAGGTGTTGAGCCAAAAAAAGTTGTATCTAATAGACTGTTACATCATATTAAAGCAAATAATCTTAGCGAAGTCTATCAGTCAGCATATAAGGCACACCATAGTACCGAGACAGCGTTACTTAGGGTCTGTACTGATATTTTAAAATATATTGATGAAAAAAAAGGTATGTCTTCTTACTCTTTTGGACCTTTCGGCTGCATTCGATACCATTGATCATGGTATTTTACTCGAGAGATTAAATACTACTTTTGGCATAAAGGGTACTGTCCTGCGATGGTTTGAGTCATATTTTAAGGATCGAACACAAGCAGTTGTGGTTGGAAACACGTGTTCTAATAATGTTTTGCTTAGATGTGGTGTTCTTCAGGGGTCTGTTCTTGGACCTGTCTTGTTTACAATGTATACACAACCTATTGCTGATATTTTAAGACAATATGGCATGAATTACCATCTTTATGCTGATGACACTCAAATTTATAAGTCTATTGATTTCGATCAAATACCACTTTTAGTCGACTCTACTGAACAATGTACTAGAGATTTAAAAATATGGATGACCAGCAATAAATTGAAACTAAATGATGACAAGACGGAAATAATGTTGAGTGGAAATACAAAAGCCATTAAAAATCTCCCAGAGCTACAAATTGATATTAATAACCATACCATTCGTTCAAAAAGAAGTCTTAACAATCTAGGGGTTCAGTTGGATTATGATATGTCTATGTCCTCCCAGATAAGCCAGCTCAGCAAAAGTATTTACTTTCAGCTTAAGAAAATTGGCAGTGTAAGAAATTATTTAACTAAAGCAGCAGCCAAGACACTTGTAACAACACTCATTTTATCAAAGTTAGATTACTGTAATGTTATTTTGTCCGGTTTGACATCCGAAAAACTATCAAAGTTACAAGTACTTCAAAATCAAGCAGCAAAATTGATAATGAAACAAAAGAAATCAGCCCACGTAACACCAATTCTGAAAGAACTACACTGGCTGCCAATAAAAGAAAGGATTAAATACAAAACTGCCGTTCTCTGTTTTAAATGTATAAATGATAGTGCACCTTTTTATCTTAAAACATTCCTGGAATTATATAATCCACCTAGAGCCCTTAGATCAGCCTCTGACAATCTAATTCTTAAAACTCCAAAACAAAACTACAAAACATACGGCGAGCTTTCCTTTTTGTTCTTTGGTCCCCAGGTATGGAACGAAATCCCATATAAAATAAGATCTGCCCCAACAATTTCCATCAAAAATCAGCTGAAGCATTTTTTATTCACAAAAGCATACCTGTCATAATGATGTACTGTGATATATATGCATGTGTATGCCAGACTGTGAGACTGAAGAAATAGCGAGTGAGAATGAGAGAGAGAAAAAGAGAGAGATAGAGAGAGAAAAGAGAGAGAAAAGAGAGAGATAGCGAGAGAGGGAGAGAGAAAGAGAGAGAGAGATAGAGGGAGAGGGAGAGAGAGAGAGAGAGAGAGAGAGAGAGAGAGAGAGAGAGAGAGAGAGAGTGGAAATGTTTTTCTATCTGTATAGAATTAATGTTTTAATGAATGTTTCTAGTTACTCACGTTTCAACTGTATTTTGACTGTTCGTGAATTTATATTGCATTGTATATTTTTAGTGAACACATTTTCAACCTCACTGCGAGACTGTTTTTCTGGTATAAAATTTTACACATATGCATTTATATTATATGTATAATACTTTGTTTTACGTACACATTTGTGTCGATTAATTTTTAAGATGTGATGTCTTTTTCATTGTAATGCGCATTGAGCATCTTTTAGGAAATGGAAATGCGCAGTATAAATGCTATTTATTATTATTATTATTATTATTAAAACAAAAATTCTAGAAAAATTCCAAAACATCTGGGAAAATGCCAATTTCTTAACTTCCATTATCTTGACCAGCGTCTGATTTCACCATGCTGCCTCACATATATTTTGACATTTGTCTGGTAAAACCTCCAAATAAAAAAACAAAGATAACAATAGAAATTGTCTGTTAAACCCTTGAAAAAAAAATTACCACATCTTCAAAAGAGAGGGATTATCTTTACTTGAAAATTTTAGTATGAACTGAACTCGTCTACATATTTGCCGTAATCATGATTCTTTTTCAGGTGTCAGGTCTGTAACAGACATTGATGAACATGGTACCCCATTCTGTCCCCGTCATTTTATGCAAGAAAAATTCTGAAATTATGCAAACTGAGCTCAAAAATGTGAAATTATACGATTCTGTTAATTTTAACAAAGAATGGTAAAGGAAAATAATCAGAAATGATGCAAAAAATGATCAAATTTTGCTAAATTACGCAGGGTGCATAAAACCACGGGGACAGCCCATTCCTTCCTGTTGTCTATCTTCCTAATCAGCCCAGTTCTTCTCTTTGAGTTATTCATCGTAAAGTTGTTCAGATCATCTGCGTATGTAGTTCTTTGTCTTCCTCTACTCTTCTTTCCCTCTCTCTTTCCACAAAGTAACAGTTTCTCTAGTCCGTTTGATCTACTTATGTGACCAAAGAATCTCAGTCGTCTTTTTCTGATGGTTCTGATTATTAATCTTTCACAACCTGCAATTTGGAACACTTCTGTATTTGTTTTCCTCTCTGTCCGTGAGATTCTGTGTAATCATGATAAAGAAACGTTAAGAACTGATATCTATGTCAAGATTTTTCATGAGGACAATAGAATGTGTACAGAGTAAGGCAGGGAAATCACACTTTCAGACACTGTCTGTCAGCCTGTAAGTGCATATCATCAATCCTTGATTAAGAAAAATTGTCAAAAACTGTTAACCCATTCAATGTCGCAGGTAAATAGGCCCCTGTGCCGGGGAAGATCCCGTGAACCAAGGCTGCTTAGGGGTGACCCCATTCTACCTGCCATACTTTTTAAATTTATAAATATTTCCTCATGAATTTCTGCAGGTACATTCTACATTGAATATGATTTTGGGGGGGATTTCATTCAGAGACAGATAGAGAAAAATTGGAGTCAGTAACATGATACTCAAAAACCACACCACTATACAACATAAACAAAGCACATTTAAGTAGATCTAATGATAAACTGATACCATAAAAAGGGGAATACATGTTGTGTGAGTGCTTTCAGGTAAAGAAAAATTGACAAGAGGCTTTTCCCACCTTATACAATGCTTGTAGAATCCACATATATATATATATTATATATATATATATATATATATATATATAAATGTATGTGTATATAAATGTATGTGTATATATATATATATATATATATATACATGTAAGCCCATCTGTGTTTACTGCCAGTTAGTCATTTTTGTGTGGAAGTTGTGTATATCTTGATCTAATCTTCTCTTTGAGCTAAAATCTGAATCTGACGCTTTCAAATGGAGGGAAAATGGAGGTAAACATAAAGGAAAGGTACCTCAATAACAATTACAAGATTTTAGCAGTAACTTCCCTTATAATTGGTATCACTAAAATAACCTCTGTCACAGTTCCGTAAATCCTACGAAGCACAGCGCTACACAGATCAGGCCCGTAAATTTTACGGATGTGATATGGAAGAGGTTAAAAGTTAAAATTGCCAAAATAAAACAACAGTAGGATCAAATTAAATACAATACAAAATTTCTACAACTTTTCCAAATGAAGCAAGCATAAAAACTAAGAAGCAGAATAAGAAAAATGAGCATATTACAAATCACAAAAAGTTGGAAAATTCAGTCGCAATTTTCTCGAGACAATGGAAATGGCACGTAAGACATTTTGGTTTTCAAGAGTCAATATTATTCATCAGAAGGTAGACTACAACTAGCCAAAAAGTAGGATTTATAAAGGATGAATGAAGTAAAGGAAACTTACTGCAAGAACCAGGCAGGAGCCTGATGTCATCCAGACCTATGTCTCCTTGATAGTCCGTACCACGTATGCCCTCAAACAAAATGTAGTAATCCCGTGCCATCTGCTCAAAAAACAAATAAATAAAGTTTACATGTGTATATATGTATATATGTATGTATATTGTAGGTAGGTAGGGGGGTGGGTGGCAGGGTATGTAGGTAGGTGTATAGGTATGCGTATTATTATTTTATTACAGCTGTTGTTACGGTTTCCCACTCTTATGTCCCTCACCATAAACTCTCCCCCTTCCCCCCCTCTTTCTTTCTTCTCTCTCGCTCTCTCTCTCTCTCTCTCTCTCTCTCTCTCTCTCTCTCTCTCTCTCTCTCTCTCTCTCACACACACACACACACACACACACACACACACACACACACACACACACACACACACACACTTCCTCTGCCTCCCTCCTTTTACTACCTACCAGGATGTCTCTACAAAGTGCGCTCAAACACTTCCCTTGTTCATCCCATGTTCACACAATTAACCTCCCGTAAAGCCTGGGGGTGAGGACATTCTAATAGTCATAGAGATAAAATGCTTTCATACTCTTGCAAGACTAGCATCGATTTCTTTATAATTAGCCTCTTATCCTGGCTCGCACTGAGTCCCTTCTGTCCAGCCTGGTAACCACAGGAAACCTTAAAACTTTCTTTGTTAGGCCCATTTCAGTGACACTCTACAGCGTCACATTTGTCTCACTCTCAGTTGCTCCTGAAGACGCCTACATGGTGAAACATCGAGCCGATTCAATAAAAACAAACTTTTAACATTTTACATTTATACTTTGGTCTGTAAATCAAGCAAGACTCTCCCTACCTACTCCGCTTTTTAAAAAATAACGATGATGATAATCATAATAAAGATAACTTCTTCAGCATACCCTCCCTGATCGCTAGGTGCTTAACAAATAAAATAAGAATTAAATCAAAATTTCATGCATATTGGCCTATCTAGCGTACAACAATTCTTTCAATTACATAATATGCACTCATAATCCGACAATGTCATACATCTTCCTGTGAGTGAAAGGGTTGTGTAACCAATTGGTGAGCAGTGGGTTTCTCAGAGGAATAAACACAGCACAACGGCTTCAAACTTTGACTTCAGTTAACCACCTGTTCTTCGCAATTTTCTGCCCTTGGCATACGACAATTAATAATCATTCAGAACCTGTAGCCTCATTAGCGTTAGTATTAGGAGCTAGTCACATATGACAAAGTACCTAGCTTGACTCCCAGTATGTTCAAATATGGTTGATGGATAACTTTGGCTATTTTTCCCAAGCTTTCTTCACATCTGAGACCCTTGGGTAGGATAATGATCTTTTTTTAGTGAGAAAACTTTTGAGTACATGTTAAGCATAGGAGCCTACACAAAAAGGATATTTTGCGGCCAAAGGACAAAAACAGATGGTTTCCATAGTTCTTGGAGATGCTGAGAGGGAAAGGGAAAAGTAGGCGGAGACAGAGAAGCAGAAAGAGAGGGAGAGAGAGGAATAGAGAGAGAGAGGAATAGAGAGAGAGAGAGAAAAAAAGAGAGAGAGAGAAAGAAAGAGAGGGAGAGAGAGAGAGAGAGAGAGAGAGAGAGAGAGAGAGAGAGAGAGAGAGAGAGAGAGAGAGAGAGAGAGAGACAGGGAAAGAGAGAGACAGGGAAAGAGAACGAGAGAAAAAGACAAAGCAAGACTTATCTGTGATCACGAAAGGCAAGGGCTATTTTTGAAACAGGAAAGGTGGTCACCTTACAAAAAGTTTTGATCTAATCAAATAGACCTGAGCCTTGTACTGCCAAAAATAACATTTTTGTTATTGTGCGGTTCCAAGCTAATAGAACAACCAGAGAGTAGAAGACAAAAGACTTTCCAAGCTTTGCTTCCCTTCCCAAACACTCCTTTCCCACGAGGACAAAAAGCTAACCGTAATGTCAACAGATGCTTCAAGCCAATCACTTCCTTGAGGTCCAGTCCTTGTCCACTTCAAGCTTCGTGTCTGCCCACTTGGCATCACATACACATTCAGGGTGTTGATCTTGATGCCATACATATGGTACCAAAATAACAGACATCTTGCATTATGGCTGAAAAGAGATGGAAACAAGACACTGTCTTACAACCAGGAGTACAACTCGTACAATTTCCACTAATATAAGTATGATCTTCCACTTCCCAGATTTCAAGAGGTCACGAAAGACGGTTATGTGGTACATTCGGCAGAAGAAAAGGCATCGGCATGAGGAGAAAAAAAAATGAAAACTGGCAAAGGGAAATCTGAACGCAATGGGTTCAATCTTCACTAATATATGATTTCAACTCAGTAGTAGCAAGGAAATCACAAACAGTAGATTTAAAATCATATGGCTTTTGTTCAACATCCATAGAGTAACAACTCAGCAATTCGAAATGCAAAACAAGTGAATGCATCTACAGAAACAGAGGAGTAAGGGCAGTGAGTTAAATTTCATGAACTCTGCACCCCCCCCCCCCCTGAGCCAAATGTGACTCATTGCAGGTCCAGATTTGTCTTTCATCTCCTCCTGCCATTTTTTCACAATTCCAAAGTACACTCTCTCTCTTGAACACTCTGTCTAAACCTGAACGAAACTGACTACATCAAAACATTGAGCTAGCTTCACCCAAGTCAAAACAAAAAACAATAAATGAGCATATTACTATTACAAGAGTTTCCAAACTGAAACCTTCATGATTTTTTAAACTGAATTGCATATAACAGAAGTAAAGGTCTGAAATGAACAACTTCTGAAGATAATTTCAATTAATGCTAATGCTCTCAGGAAAGTCACCAATTACAGTGCAGTAAAAGGTATGAACTTAAAATAAAATAAAGGCAACCAGGCTTTCACAAAATGTTAGACAGTGAAATTATGATGAAACCATCAACAACAACAACAGCAACAGCAACAGCAACAACATCAGTCGGAACAATGACAGCAAAAATATTTCAAACCTTGTAACTTTTGGACTTTTAATGACCGCTGTATCATTCGGTTGTTGTGGATAGGATGCCTCGATGAAGATGTAATGACCACTATCTGCAAAGATTTTTTTAAAATATGACATTAAATATAAAATGAGGTTACAAAGTAAACAAAAAAGACTAATTCCGTCTAATCTTATCATTTTTCTTTCAAAAACGTTTGATCCTTTATCCTTTTATTGAATATATAAAAATTTAAGTACATTAATTGAACATCAGGTATTTTGAGGATTCTCAGAATAAATTTATAACAAAAATGAAAAAAAAAGAAGATTTAATTATAGGAAATGCTCCACATAACACATTATTGTTTGGGAAGATATTGATAAGTGAGCCTGGTACATCTTCTGGCAAAAATTTCAAGGAAGGAGAAAAAAATAAAGTGTTTTATTTTTCTTTTTTTCTCATAAGTAAAACAAAAGTAAAGCAAACAAAAGTAAACCAAACAAAACCTTGAACAGCAGAGGAAAAAGATACTGAAATGTTGCAATGAGGAAAACTGGCTACCCCAATTTTCTGAAATCCCAATTTCCGGGTGCATCCCAAGGTTCCAAATCACAAATCTTTGCCACAGCATAAGATAGAATTTTTTAACTCTTACAAGTCATAATTAAGCCTATCCTCTGTTTTGACTCAGCAAGTTTAGCTTCTAGACAAAAGATGTGCCAATTTTTAAAAGTTAAGTCCTTACTTGACTTTGAACTGTTGTCAAAGTTCCAAATTACAAACGCCATACAACAGAATTAAAAAAGAATTCCTTCAGGCCTTACATGACTTGGTCAAAGTTCCCAATAACAAACCTTTAAACAGCATAAAATATAATTTTTTTAAGGCCTTACTCAATTTTAAGTGTGGTCAAAGTTCCTAATTACAAATGCATTACTATACAACAGCATTAAAAAAGAATTCCTTTAGGCCATACTCAACTTTGAAGGGTGGTCAAAGTTCCCGATTACAAACGCTATACAACAATATAAAAAAGATTTCCGCAAGGTCTTACTTGACTTCAGAGTGTGGTCAAAGTTCCCAATTACTAACGCTATACAACAATATAAAAAAGAATTCCGTAAGGCCATACTCAACTTTGAAGGATGGTCAAAGTTCCCGATTACAAACGCTATACAACAATATAAAAAAGAATTCCATAAGGTCTTACTTGACTTCAAAGTGTGGTCAAAGTTCCCAATTACAAACCTTTACAATGTAAAAAAGAATTCCTTACTTGACTTCAGAGTGTGGTCTGTGGTAGGTCCTGTGTCGGCACTCCCTGTTGCACCTTGAGTGAACGTCCAGTCAAAGTCATCATTGGTTTCTTGAGACCACTGGCACAATCCACCAGATTCAAAATCACAGTCCACATTAGACTTGACGACTGTAAAGAAGAATGAAGATGAGTTATCATGGCTGGAGAAGAGACTGGAAAATCTGTGTGCATACAACTCAGTAACTCTGATGATGGGAAAAGAAAAGGTGAACATTATTTCACCAGCACATTGATGAAGTTGTACTGTGACAAGGAGCATTTGCAATGCATTGTGGTGAAATCAGGCACTCATCAAAATAGTGAAATGGAAGAAGAAACTGGCATTTTCCCGATGGTTTGGCAATTTTTATCGAAAATTTGTTTTTTGGCTCAACACCTTTTATATCCATTTAGAAACACATTTCTATGTAGATTTTACTACAAACACTTTGACCGTTGGCAAAAAAATGTTAATGTTCAGTTTTCAAAGTCTTTCAAGCTATGGAAGTTACCAAACTTTTGCAGCTATTTTTTTGCTAATTTTATCTCTGAACCAAGGCGACCCCTACCTCCTTCAATTGCAAATATCTCGACTCCTATTCAAGATAGAAGGCTGGGGGGGTTTTTTGCATTGAAAACCAATCAAAAGAACAAACTTTAAGATGATGCCAATAACTGCATATGCACAAAAATTGACGAGTAGCAGATTCCACCATGTCATGACACATTTGTGTATGGAAGGAAAGCAAAGATCTGCTGAGCTTCTTTTACTTTCAATAAACACTAATAGCACTACGCCTTCAACAAGTGTAATCTACAGAATGCCTAAGATTATCAATCACAAACTGTACCATCAAAGCAAGTCAGTCAGATATGGACGCTTATTTGGCAAAATGAAAACCAAGGCAAGTTCCATATTTTTCCCAAAGACATTCTTTTAAATTTCAGATTTAAGTAGCAAGAGATATGGAAGTGTCTTGTCAGTTACGCAATTCTTCAATTTTAGCACATTTCTTCTTTATCTCCTCTAAAGAAGAACTGAGCATGATTCACAAAACAATGCATCAATACCAAATAAGGAATAAACAAAACAGGCAAACAGACACCCTTACCAGAGCCCTGGGTGACTGATGATGTCGGCACAGGGGCTGTGGGGCCTCCAGTCACTGCGGCCTCAGAGGGAGAAGCTGAACATATCAGAGCAGGAGAACAGAAAGGAAATTTGTTAGATTAACACTTTATTAGGAAAAAGAAAGCACATTTATACTAAGAAGTGGATCTCTTTCAACTCGGGTCGACTCTGACAGGCATGGTCAAAACAGATAATTTTCTAATTGATCTAGAATCTAGATTGTGTTGATCAGAAGATCCAGGTTTTCTTGAACAAGTGTCCAAGAAAGTTACTGAGGATCAGATGAACAGACAGGGTCACCAAGGAAGTATTAACGAAAACAGGACAGATCCTAGTCAGAAATGAGGCTGGAAGAAGGCGGTGGCGATGGATTGGACATACTTTCAGGAAGTCAGGCAGCTGCATAAGAAAGAGAGTGTTGGATTGGAATCCACATACAGGGTAAGAGATCAAGCGGAAAACCATGTGGAAGCTGGAGAAGAATCACAGAAATTGATGTACAGTAAAGTGGGAAGACAATGAATAACATCACAAGGCTAGCCCAGGATAGAGAAAGGTGGAAAGTGTTTGTTCGTGGCCTTTACCCTGGTGCAGGGGGAGCAAGGCAATAATGATGATGATAATGTGTCGATAGGAGTGTTGGATTAATACAATCATCATTTGAACAAAAATGACTATAGAGCATGAAAACAGAAAGGACAATTTGTTTTTGGCTTTCTGTTATCTTATTAGGAAAAAGAGAGCGCATTCATACGAAGGAGCTTATGTCTGTTTGAATCAAAGAAAAACTAGGTCGACCAATAAGGGTCAGTTAGTTTAAGTAAGAGTTTTACAGCACTTGCAACACATTTAGGTTATATAAGTGTAGAAGATTAGAGGTGTTGCAAGAGAGTAAGAAATACAAAAAAGAAGGGGGAGAGATAAGGATGATAGATGTTATAATAGGAAAAAAGGAGCAAACCACACTAGAGCACCCATTAACCACCTACAATAAGGGTCATTTTGAGCTGGAACATGCACATAAGTCAGACAGACACTATTGAAAGCATCTCAAACCTCTTGCAAGATGAAAATGAGAGCAGAACATGCTGATTATAATAAATCCTGAAAGCCAAATATTATCACAGCAGAAGAGGACAAACAATGTTAATATTTGTGCCGTTGAAATGTAACTGTTATAAATCACATCCAGCCACTTTAAAAGCGACATTTTCGTCAGTTTAAGTTGGAGAAAAAGTTGAAGGTGAAATGTTTTCAGCTTCACCATGCAGAAGAATATAACTTACACCAAAGTGATGGAAGACCAAGATGATTTTGTCCTCCAATGGTTCTCAAAATGCTGTGGCTCACCATGAGTATAGATAAATCATCACTGTCTTATTTTTATTGTTTGCAATTTGGTAAAGATGGTAAAAGAGTGGAAGTAACCTAAGCCCCACCCTAAACTAGATTTTAAGCATCTTCACTGGTCACTCAAAATCCCACAGAATCTGTCAAATAATTTGAAATTTGTTTGTGGTAACGCTACTTTATTAGCTGCAAGTTCCCCATAAACATCTCAATGATAGAAGTCATCACCTGCACAGTAGCCTTGAGTAATGGTGAAGTCATCCAGAGCAAAGTATCCTACTTGGCTAAGAAGATTGGCTTCAAAAACAAGTTTGTAAGGACTGCTGCTGTAAACAAAAGCTTGGGCATCCTGGAAAGTAGTTGTCTCATGTCGACCAATTTTCCACACCGTGGAGACTGAGCCCTGAAAGACAGAAAATCACATCCCTTAAAAAAATGGTGAAATTCAATGCCCCTATCAACATTATTAGGTTATTTAAGAGGCAGGACCTCCAAGTTTAACATCCATCTCCATAAAAGGACCGAGCCAAATGGGAAATTTGTGTAAAGTGTCTTTCCCAAGGACACAACGTCAGACCGAGCTGAACATCCCTCTTCTGATGCTCACTGTAATAAAAAAGATGTGAAGGATGAGAGGGTGGTAAACACCAAGATATTTCATGCCTAAGTCACTTCCAAGTAGGCATATCAGCAAATTCATCGTGTCACAGCAATGTTTTTTCAACAGGATAGCAAAAATTTTATTCAAGATAAATCCATTTGCGACCTATCTGACGTATGCCATTCATCATTTTTTTTTATACAGCAAAGAAGCCAAGCTGCTTTCTTGCAAACTGCAAGGATTGTGAGGACGAACACCGTTCGTCATAGGCTGTCTTCTGCATCACTGCTTCTTTTTTTTTTTTTATGGTAGAGGGTTTTACGGTGCTCATAACTGCATAAGGTCATATGAGCGCCAAAGGGTGGGTGTCAACAGAGAAGTCTTTACAGGGAATAAGACTTAGACTGCTCACCTCTCTAGCTTCAACAGCGCAAGGTCTGCTTCGACTATCAAGGCACCCCGGAAATAGCAGGTCACAAGAGAGTGACAAACATAGAAAAGAAGTATAGGAAAATGACAATAGTAAGGATAGTAAGGATCAGGAAAGAAAAAGCAGCAGTTCCCTGTAGTAGATCAGGCACAGTTTTGAGCGTGACATGAATCAGCCCATTTACAATTCTACTATGCTTGAACGAGAAATGTCCCCCCTTTGGGAAGGGCCTAAAGACACTACAGTCAGTGGCACTGCCCCGGGGGGGGGGGTATCACTGCTTCTATGAGATGAATGTCGTAAAACTAATCGCTGATTCACATTCAGCAATATTTTTTTATGTACATAGAAATAATTTCCTTTTAGATATAGTTAGCAGTATTGCAAACTGGGTCTAATTATAGAAAACTGACCACTAAATCTATCACTAGTCTGTGTCCTCAGGGATCGAAAACTGCGTGATGAAGCACGAACTGACTCGGACTCTTATGTCATGAAGGAGTTACTCTACGGTATCGAATAAGCGTTTCCCCCTCCCTCCCCCACTTATTAATTTTTCAGTTCCCCCACTCCCCCCCCCCCCCCTCCTTTTATTCCAACCCCCCGTTTATTCATTTTGGACCACGTGTCCACCAACCCTCCCCCTTTTATTCATTACCTTAGAGTAGTTAACCTAACAATTAGTTATGCTGAAGATTGTTTGGTCCCACTTTTTTCTTTCCTTATTCTATTTCTGTCCACCTTACTTTTTCCAGCACTAAATGACAGTTTTTGTGTCAATGTGTGACAGAATAAATTTTAAATGCAACTTACATTGACATTGATGTTAAGGCTCAAAGGTGAGACAGCCTGATGTGAAGCAAACCAAAAATGGAAGCAGATACCACTTGAACTAGTAGCGGTTAATTCTTCTGAGGAGAACTGTACTCTCAAACCACTCCCTCTGTCAACAAATCTGTCATTGGCCAATATTACGTATGAACCTGCAAGACAAAAATATGGAAGAAAAGTTAGATAAAAGAATGAATGAATAAAACAACATATTTATGGTTAAAACAGAATGGAAATGAAACTTGATTTTCTCTCCTTTTTCTTTTCCCATGCTGCTGCTGCTGCTGCTGCTGCTGCTGCTGCTGCTGCTGCTGCTGCTGCTGCTGCTGCTGCTGCTGCTTCTTCTTCTTCTTCTTCTTCTTCTTTTTCTTCTTCTTCTTCTTCTTCTTCTTCTTCTTCTTCTTCTTCTTCTTCTTCTTCTTCTTCTTCTTCTCCTCCTTCTTCTCCTTCTTCTTTTTCTTCTTCCTCCTCCTCCCGATCATCAATGATTTATTTAGAGAGGCACCAGCCATCCATGTCCAGGTGCTGTTTTAGCCTCTCCTCCTCCTCCTCCTCTTAATAAGAAAAAGTATGGTAGCCCCTTGTGTGGGAAGTATCATTATTGCTACTTTTGAACTTGAAACAGTCTCTTCACCTGACCAGCTATGGCCAAAGCAGCTGTTTATACGATTAAAATTAGAACAACTGGTATCCAAACGAACAAGTTTCTTGCATTCAAATAAATTGAGGGTTTTCTTTTGACTAAAGAATGTTTCAGAAAAGTGGAAAGGATTTATAAAAAGAGGACCAGGTTCATTTTGAGCCATAGTTCAAGGCAACTGCAGGTGTTACTGCTGCTAATCCTACAGACAGACAGGCCAGAAGACACGGTGTACTTATCCTTGGTCAGTTATGGTTCAAAAACCTTAAAGCCAGAAACTCTCATAAAAATATTTTATGTGACTGAGTAGGAAAACCAAGTACACCACAATTTAAATTATCAAAATTACCATTAGCAGTGCCTGTGGTGTGGTCAACTGTTGGAGGAGAAGAATTCGGGAACATCCTGGAACTTGCTTTAGCTAAAACGAAGTCCGCCAAATTTAAAAAAGGAGAGGTCCAACCACACTTGCCGGCCTCAAATGAGCATTCTCCTGGAAGTACATAAGGGAAAATGTACAAAATATGACATAAAATTATATCATGAGAATCTCAGAAACAAGCCTCTATACGATCAATGAGATTATCTAAAACTCTTAGAAATAATTAATAATAATAATAATAATAATAATAATAATAATAATAATAATAATAATAATAATAATAATAATAATAATTTGCAAAGCGGAAATTACCACTCAACAGCAAGCTCTATGCATTTTATAATCTTTCTAACTACCCAAGCAGACCTGATATCATTCTAAAATCATTTCAACTTCATTGGAAGCTACAGTACAAGCTGCCATTTTATAGGCACTAAAAAAACATTAACATACTGACAAGATCTCTCATTGTCTACGGCCCGGTACCGATTCATACCTGGGTGAAGTGAGGAAAATTAATGTGAAATGCCTTTACCAGGACACAATGTCGGGCCTGAAACTCAATTAACTCTTGAACCCGCAATCTTACGATTAAGAGTCCGTCAGCCTAACCACTGGATTTCCAATGCTAAGGCATAAAAGTTGTAACGATGGGTTGTCACTAATGTTCTGAGAGAAGAAAGCTTTGATATTATCGAAGAAAGCTTTGGCACCATGAAGCAAACTATCACTAAGTATCAATATTTAAAGCAGCAAATTAGAAGTTTTGTCCATAACTTTACAGCAGTTTACCTTTTTTTGCATATGACTGGGAAGCATTTTTCACACATTTTTGTAAGTACATCACACACACCAAAAAGAAAAAAAAATCATTTTAATTCCCAATAAAAGACCAAGAAAGTATCAATAGTTTCTTTCTTGATTTCAGACTCCAATTACCACCCAGGCAACAAGAGAAAAAAAGCAAGAATGAGAAGACCCAAAAGTATCCGTGCAAATCATTTTACGCAGACCAAAAACAGGTGTTTGTGCACTTCATAGATGGTTTTATAACAAGGTTTATTTTTTGAAAAGTATTCCATACTCTGAAAGATATCATAATGCATATGTTGAAATAGTAAGCTATTGAGGTACTGATTTGTCAGACCAGATCATGGAATAACAATTGATAACAAGCTTGACTGGAATCCACACACTGCTCTTGTGTATAACAAAGTAAATCAAAGAATATTCCTTTTAACTCTTTAAGCCCTGAGTTTTTCCATTGTTTCCAGCAGTTTTTTTCTACAGTCACCTAAACCTAGTGCACTGTGTCTCATTATGTCCCGAAAAGCTTGTCTCCAACTTCTAAATAGCGGAAACGAAGGCTTAGTCATTACTAAAAAAAACTTAGTTCGCGAATAGTTCCGTAATAAAGTCACTAAGGTGGCTGTCTAAGACAGGGGTTATTGTTTTGTGTGATTGGGGTTATGTATTAAAAAATGGTGGACGCAGCCATGTTTGACAGGTGCCCGTTTTACACAGTTAAATTATATAGAAAAAACGCAAGGGGGAAATGGAAAGTGGTTATTTGTACAGGTGGCCATCTTATAGAGGTGGCCATCATGGCAGGTTCGACTGTATGCCTTTTGCAGTAGAAGCATGCTCCCCACTCTCCCCCCCCCCCCCTCCACTTTATACTCATGCATCATGATGTTCATAGCCTGCTGTTTACTGTTCTTTTGAGGCATGATTGCGACTACCGGCATCACAGTGTCCCCAGATATAGCACACGAAGTCAGTCACTTTAAAATAAGGGGGGAGGGGAGAGGGGGGAGGGAGGGGAGGGGGTGCAAACTTTACTTTTACCTGTTTTTGCTTTTTTAAAAATATATAATATATAAATAAATTTTTTAAAGATTCTTCACAAGCAGAAAGCTGACATACCTGGTGAGGGGCAGTTGGAAACCAGTGAGATGTCATCAAACGCCATATCACTTTGGTAGCTAATCCCAGTTTTACCAACAATCACCAACTGTGGGGGAGAAGTGATGGAGTTAAACAATAAAGAAATCAATTGCTTAAGAATATTACATGGGATAATTAGCAAAGAAACAAAAAGAAAGATTCACTTTTTAAAAGTATTTTTCATTTATTGAGCTTGTGGGCCTATAATTGGCTCTTTTTCCCCAAAACTGCATCCCTCCTTCTGCAACCTGCCTCTAAGAGTAGACCTATTATTAAATAAACGTTCAGAAATAAAGAGTCCTTTTCAGCTATGCAGCAAGACTGATTATCATCACAAGACAAACACAATTTACAACAAGACTGCGCAGATTAGTTATAAGTTTAAGTAAGATTTTTACGGCATTTGCAACACAATGAGGTCATATAGGTGCAGAAGATTAGGGGTGTTACAAGAGAGTAACAAACAAAAAAAGGAGGAGATATAAGGGTAATAGATGTTTGAATGGAAAGAAGGAGCAAACCACACCAGAGCATCTGCCAACCACCCACATGGTGCAGATTAAACACTTCGGGCATCTAAGAAGGCATTTAGCAAACATTTTTAACTACTTCAGTCATGCAGAAAGAGATCATCAATGATTATGGACACATGAAAAACATATGTGGCACGACTTGGTGGAAAGGCCCTCATCAATTTTTGGGCATATAGAGTTATTGGTATCATCTTAAAGCCAGTTCATTTGCCTTGTTTTTGGTGAAAAAAATTTCAAATTATAAAGAATAGAAGTCAAGACAATAGCGATTGAAGGAGGTGAGGGCGCCTTCTTCTTGAGGCAAAATTAGCAAGAAAATGGCCCCTTATTTCCATCGCTTGAAAGTCGTTGGAAACAGCAAATTTAGTTTTTGTGCCTTTAATCAACGTTTTTCAGTAAAATCAACATGGAAATGTGTTTTTACATAAAGCGCACTTGATTCCATTACGTCGTGACACGTATTCTTTCAAAATCTTTTACATCAGATCATGTTAAACAAACTTACATTAACTTGACCACTAGGCGAAGGTGGAAGTGGGACATACTCCTGCTTCCACAGTTGGCCTTGATTTCCCTGTAAAGCCCAAAGCCTCCGAGTTGTTCTGTAGAGGCCAGTGGTATTCAACTGTCCCAGGTAAATGCTTAGTTCACCCATGGTAGATCCGTACATGTTGTAGAAAAAGGACACACACTGGCCATCCGTATAGGTGAAAGGTGGAGACCACAGCTTGAACAATCGATTAGAAAACGTATTACTTGCTTCGAGGTACATGTAGTGTCCTGAAGAATAAAACAGTTTGAGAAAAATCTCAAAGCCAAGGTCAAGATTTAAAAAAGAAAAAAAAAAAAAAACCCATCAAAACAAGGAATGAAGAAAGCACATTTTGAACCTTGTAGAAATGTGGTTTAGAAGGGTGCACAACAACAGTCACAAAGTAAAATAATAAAAAGCAAACTAAGAATTTTATGACACTTGCAAAACAATAAGGTCGTATAAGTGCCAGCTCAGTTTAGTTTTAGTAAGGGTAAACTGCCTTTTCAGCGCTCTCTTTTCAGCTAAGTTATACTGTTTTTCGTGTTACACAAATTTAAAATGTTGAACAAACGCAACTGCCAAGAGTCGAGGGCAATCAAAGAGTTTTGTAGACTTTTATTAAGTGCACAACAAAGGAGACTGAATTTCATAACCATTGAGACTGAAATTTGATGTTGCATATCCATTCAGACTGAAATTTGATGTTTCATAACCAGCAAAACTGAAATTTGATGCTACGTAAGTACATAAAGCAAGGAACAGAAGGTGATTGGTATACATAATTACTTCTTTTTTTTTTATGTGTTACGACGCGGCAGAATCAGGCACTCGTCAATTTTTTGGTATATGGATTTATTGGCATCATCTTAAAAGTTTGTTTATTTGCCTTGCATTTGATGAAAAAAAATATCCATTTATCTTGAATAGAAGTCGAGGTGTTTGCGATTGAAGGAGGTAGGGGTCAGCTGGTTTCAGAGGTGATATTAGCAAGAAAATGACTGCCTGAGTTTGGTAACATCCATAGCTCAAGAGTCCTTGCAAACTGCAGATTTACATTTTTCGTGCCTTTAATCTATGTTTTTCTATAAAAATCCACACATGAGAATGTTTTTGAATGGACATACAAGGCGTTGAGGCAAAAAGCTCAACATTTTTTTTTATTCCAAACTGCCCGAAAAATGCCGATTTCTTCAACTTCATTATTTTGACGAGTGCCTGATTTCACCACGATGCCTCACATATGTAAACATACAGTGGAGCGCTGTTTAAACTGAACACTTTTAATTCAAACACAGCAGTACTCTGAAAGAACATAATATCCCCGAATTTTGTTCTTCTGTTTGAGCAACCCCTCTAAATCTAAAACTCAGCAGAACCAAAGAAATTCCCGCCATCCTACGAATATCGATTTAAACGGACTTCACTGTATTTGCCTTTCGGAAGCCTATAACTTTTCACCTTGCCATGTGTCACTTAACATTCATCAATGCTTTAAATACTTCTGCAAGAAACTCACCCAAACTAGTGCCATAAGTGTGATCAGAAGTGGGACCAGTGCCAGTTGAACCAGTGGACATTGTATTCCTCCTCCAGTCTCCATCATCATTTGGATCCTGGATGTAGCCGCACAAAGAAGAATCCTCAAAGTCGCAGTTTATTGGAGATTTGGAACCAGCCGCTGAAGAATTTTAAAAGAAAAGAAGTTTTAGGTACAGAATCAGCAGTCATGTTTTAATAAGGTTTTACCGCCCTCGCAACTGCATAAGGTCATATGAGCGCCAAGGTGTGGATGTCAACAGAGAAGTCCAAACGAAGAATCAGACTTACTCTGCTCACCTCTCTAGCCTCAACAGCACAAAGTTTGCTTCCACTATCAAGGCACCTCAGAAATCACAGTTCACAAGAGAGTGACAAACATACAAAAGAAGAAGTAGAGGAAAATGATGATAGTAAGGATGAGGGGAAAAAAAGCAGCAGAATCAGCAGTTAAGACACGTATTTGTCTGAGTAAAAAAAAGCACATAGAGACAAAAACGGTCTTTTAGTGCTGGGAAAAAAAGCAATACAATGTTGAGTTGTGTTCAGAACTCTTTATTTGACTTAATAACAAAACAGAAGATGCGGGTACAGACTTACTAGTTTATTCCAACAAAGCAAACGGACTTAATTGAACAATATGCCCAAGGGGCCTAACTTTACACATACCAGGTTTCTCTAATGGGATAAGTTAGAGAGTTACTTATAGACTTAGAATGTTTGGTACAGAAATTGCACTACAGAGATCATGTACATCAACATACATAGAGGCAAATGACGGTGAAAGAAAAGAAGTAGGACCTACCATGCTCTCTACTACTTACTTCAGTCGCAAACGAACTAGATCTTCTCTTAAGTAACTGTAGGCGGTTGGTAGGTGCTCTGGTGTGGTTTGCTCCTTCTTTTCTATCAAACATCTATCATCCTTATATTTCTCCTTTATTTCTCCTTCTCCTTTTTTTGTGTTTGTTACTCTCTTGTAACACCTCTAATCTTCGCCACTTATAAGACTTAATTCAGTTCACGGCTGTTAGAAAGCGGTACTTTAGTTCGCAGGCAGCCAGCGCGCCGCATCTTGTAATCTGACCCTGGTCACTGGGTCATGAACTCGTGGCCAGGGGAATTCCCCGTGTCCCGCTAACAGCATTGTTCATTTCATTTTTAGGACATTTAAACTCGCAAAATACGCCGATCGCTGACTTTATCGTCATTTTATTTTGCCTGTTTGGAACAAGGGGGAACTTCTGTACTTACTGAGAAAGATGCAAAATTGTATGAAATAATGATAAATATATATAGCGCTCCAAAAATGGCTCATATTTTACCATTTCCCTTTGGTGTGAATATTTTTAAATCTAAATTCCAATCAAACAAAACTTAATCAACCCTTCAATTTCACATAAAATACACCAGAAATGGTCAAATATCAAAACTCACTTTGCTGTTTTTGAGGGAAGTCCATGGTTTTGGAGTAGTGAAGAGTTGATTGAAGTATCACCTTTTTTTTCTTTGTCGGAGGCACGTTGGATAATAGTTTTGGATTTGACATGACGGGGTAAGATTACATGACAACTTTCAGCTGTTGTTCGATATTACGTATCCCAGCTCCTCTTCTTTCTAGCTTTGCCACTGAAGCATGGATAAGTACACCACCCTGTTTCCCATGTAAAGCCAAACCAAACCCATATGCTTGTATCCACGGGATGCAGTGGTTTTCGAGAATGTAGTGTTTGGGAAGTACCTTTTCACTAAAGTGTCTCCTGTAGAATGACATATAAGTTTTGATGCATGTTGTCAAAGTGTGGTAGTCCATCTTTTGACACTGGTTGGCCGTATGAGATGTGAATGTGAACGTCCCGAAGCGCGTTGTTTAAATGATTGAATTTTTCTATGAGAGTGTAAGCGGTGTCAATTATGTTTTGGTTGTGGGTGTTTTCTACTGTTTCTTTCACAATAAATGCCGTGAGGTCTTTATAAACATGACTCATGATGTATTTGTTGGCAATCTTTTTTGAACAAAATCCATCTTTCATAATGAACGAAGTCCACCGTATATGAACAGCATTTAACTTAATGATGAACAAAATCTGGAATGAATTCCAAACTTACACAAGAAACAAGGTCCAACTTACATGATGTGCAAAGTCCAGCTACTAGCTTGATGTCATCAACTGCAATGTCACCTGTGTAACTGCTGCCGTGAACAGCCACAAACTGGACCTAGGTGACAATGTCAAAGATGGATGAGACTAAAACTCTTTATCTTAACACTGTTTTCTAACACAATAACAATGACGATGATGATGATGATGATGATGATGATGATGATGATGATTTTTTTTTTTTTCCTTAATGGGCGTGGCGGACTTCACGAAGAAATTTTTGAGCTAGAGCGAGGCTCTTTTTCGGCTCCATTGTCAATATGCTTAGCGGCACCTCCACTCGTCCAAATAACTCCATTCGAATTGCCATTGTTCCTGGACATTCAAACATATGTTTGATATCCTTCTTTTCATGGCCGCATCTTCGGCAACAGGGGATGAGCTCTTCATTTACAAAGTTCTTATACCATCTTAAACTCCAATGATGGTCCGACCGCAGCCTCGCTAGCTCAACCTGGTCCCAACGACATGTGATAGATTTTTGTTCCCGCTTATAGGAGTACCCAGAATACACATGATGATGATGATGATGATGATGATGATGATGATGATGATGATGATGATGATGAATGATGATGATGATGATGATGATGATGATGATGATGATGACGACAATGATGATGATAATGATGATGATGACAAGGCCCCCTTCCCTGATATTGTATAGTACTACAGTAGTCTCACTTTCAGTTGATCCTGAGGAAGCCTTCATGGCAAAACATCAAGTTAATTTCATGAACCAAATGTTCATATTTTTTATCTGCAATTGTATTAAGACTCTCCCTACCTACTCTGCTTTTTAAACAAAGATGATACAGATGCTGATGCTGATAGCAGTGGTAGTCAGCATAATGGGGGTGATAAGGAAAACAAACAGTTCTCTGAGAGAATGTTGAGATTACAATTTACATTAAATTAAAGCTTTCCAGCAACATGCTGTGCCTATTTATAGCTATATATGAAATTTGACACTTATAGTACATCCAAGAACACTATGATTATGTACCTGATTCGCAAATCCAGTAGAAGATCCCCCAATGTCAACTTGAGCTTGGATCCAATGGTCTCCGTGCGTTCCATTCTCACGCCACAGATCCATAGTGGTTGACGAACCCTTCAGCCTGACTATAAGGCTGTTCACAGTCAACCCGTACATGTGATACCTTATCAAAAGTAAACAGTAAAGAGTTTATCAGAAACAACAGTAAAAGTGTAATGTAATCCAATAACTCAAAAATACCAGCAAGTCATTTCTATAAAATTACTATAAAACTTTTTAAGCATAAATAAAATTAATTCTCCCAAACATATATTTGGGTTCAACATGCTTAAGGTGGCATTACATGGGCGGCAGTCATTCTCCTTCAAGTACCAGGTCTGAAAAGGCATCAGCAATCCTGCTTCACCTCTCATTTCCCTGCTCCGATGCCTTTGAAAAAAAAACTGCAAACATTCTGATTTTTCCCCATCTCCCAACTGTACATGTTTTCTGAGTAAGATTTTTTTCAGTCTACCCCTGCCTCTTTTGCGTCCTATTTTTCTAACGAGAGACAAATGTTCAAGTTCTTCATGTTCATTCAAGAGTCTGAGGAACTGCATTGGTCTCTTCCTCTGGTGGTACTCCTCACTCAATCCCGTGACAGAGGTATCTCAGTCAGCTCTTGGGCTGCGTTCAATCCCACAACCGAGATAACTCGGTTCTATTGTTTTGTTTTGTATACTTGTTATTTCATTTAGGAAAATGACCTCAAGTTCTACATAAGGTCAATTTATTATTTTCCGAGCCAATTCTGCCTGAAGGGGTACTGGAATTTTATTTCTACTGTCATTACACACGGAGTAATCGCGCTTTTTATGAAGGCACTTTCAGCATGTATGTTCACACAGATCAGCTGAACATGTCTTGTAATCGATTGTCTCTGCCTTTCTCACACATACATTTTTTTAATTCATGAAAGTATTCAACAGCCTTTATTGTACATGACATACAATATAATAGATCTAGACACTCACAAGCATATTTGAATATCAATGTAAGTTGCTCTAGCGTATTCTGTTGTGAAAAAAATAGAAAGCCCCCAAAAAAGCCAAATTCGTACAACACTCCACAGCATGACTACTGAAGCTCCATACTTCAAATTTGGTATGTCTAAAGATCCATCTTAGGTTGTACTTAGTGCCAAATTTTAAAGCAATTGGACGATATATATGGTTATTAGTGGGCCCTTACATAAGTGCCAAAATTATAAGTTTTTGGGTACAATTTTGGGAAAAACTCCTGGGATTGAGGCGATAAAGCTTGTTCATTTATTTTGCTTTTAATATTTAAAAAAAGTATCCATCTATCTTGAAAAAAAGTCAAAATACTTGTGTTCAAAGGTAAAATTAGCGAGAAACTGGCAACCAAAGTTTGATGACTTCCACAACTTGAGGGCCCTTGCAAACTGCAAATTTACGTTTTTTGTGTCTTTAATCAACGTTTTTCAGCAAAAATCACTCCAAAATGTGTTTTTAAATGGACATAAGGGGTGTTGTTCCAGAAAATAAAAATTGAATCAAAACTGCCTAACAGCCGAAAAAAATGCTGATTTCTTCGATTTCATTATTTTGGCGAGTGCCTGATTTCACCACAATGCCTCACATATGTTCCTCACAGGCCGATCACAATAACAGTTAAATGGTTGGTTCATGAAAGAGGTAGCAACAGCATGTTTTCCTATACTTTAATTAACACTTTCTGAAGCAACACAAAATGATGTCAATTTAAATTTCTGGCTTTCTTATAAATCAAAATTAAGCTGTCTCAGCCACCTTTTGTGTAACAGACAATACAGTAAACATAATAGATACGTCAGTCAAAATAACAAATTGTATAAATCTTGGCACTCTGATTCACAATTCCTTAATTCTTTCCCCAATAAACCATTTTCCTCACTGTAACTAAGCCATTTCGGTAGCTCATTTTTTTTTTCCTTTCTGACTATTAGCAAATATTTTGAGAGGAAATATACCATTTAAAAAATTTGGAGAACCTCAAATGTATTGCATATATATATACAAATCAAAGTGAATTTTCTAGAAGAAAGTACAAAGAAAAAAAGTAGATTCTGTGCAAAACTGGTTTGTGTGAATTTGAAGACAATACTTTTTTTTTTCAGAGTAAATGAATTTTCTGAGTTACAAAATGCAGCTTGTAGAAAATGAAGAGTTAAAAAAATCTGCTACCAGCAACATCCCCATCTGTCTATCAAAATTTGTGCATCATGAAGCAGAAATGCGCAAAAGAAAACATTGTTAAATCCCCCTCTCCCGATAAGCTTAATTTCAGCACATTCTGCAATGTTTACAGACAATATATTCAGAAGATAATTACCAGAAGGACAAGCACTGCGTGGCGTTGCCGTTGAAACCTGTAGGACTGGATAGCACGGCCTGATCTCCGTTTCTGCCACTGGAAGTCTCCAAGTATATATAATGGCCTAAAGAATATACACGGGAAGCAAATGCTCATGCTGAGAAATAAGTGAACACGAGTCAAAAATTGCTAAAAATGGCATTTTATGACTTATCCAAAAAAAAAAAGAAGAAGAAGAAAGACAATTTTTAACATGAAACCTGAATATTTATAGTGCAAAATTAATCAAAAAATGAAAACCGAGAATCAGGGTTGGGTTGATTTAAATCAGGTTGATTTAAATCAGTTGATTTTTTTTATTTAAATCAACTTGATTTTTTTGATAAAAATCAGTGATTTAAATCACTTTTTTAAAAATTTATTTTTATTCAGTTTTTACATATTTCAACATTCAGAATTCCCTTCCTTGGTTTCATAAAACAGATATAAGGTGAAGTAGACTAATATAATCATGTTTAAAAGTCTGCTTTCCCAGCTTTCACTGTAAAATTATACAGTATTCAATTTACTTTTTTTTCCATAATTGAAATCAGAGCTGGGTTGATTGAAATCAGTTGATTTTTTAAATATTTCAATCAACTTGATTTTTAAAATAAAAATCAGTGATTTAAATCACTTTTTAACAAATGTATTCAGTTTTTACATATTTGAACATTCAGAATTCCTTTCCTTGGTTTTATTAAACATATAAGGTTTAGTAGACTAATATAATCATGCTTAAAAGTCTGCTTTCCCCCCTGTCACTGTAAAATAATACAGTATTCAATTGACTTTTTTTTCATAATTGAAATCAGGGTTGGGTTGATTTAAATCAGGTCGATTTAAATCAGTTGATTTTTAAAAAATTTTAATCAACTTGATTTTAAAAATAAAACTCAGTGACTTAAATCACTTTTAAAAAATGTATTCTGTTTTTACATCTTTAAATATTCAGAATTCCTTTCCTTGGTTTTATAAAACAGTATATAAGGTTTAGTAGACTAATAAAATCATGCTTAAAAGTCTGCTTTCCCCCCTGTCACTGTAAAATAATACAGTATTCAATTGACTTTTTTTTCATAATTGAAATCAGGGTTGGGTTGATTTAAATCAGGTCGATTTAAATCAGTTGATTTTTAAAAAATTTTAATCAACTTGATTTTAAAAATAAAACTCAGTGACTTAAATCACTTTTAAAAAATGTATTCTGTTTTTACATCTTTAAATATTCAGAATTCCTTTCCTTGGTTTTATAAAACAGTATATAAGGTTTAGTAGACTAATAAAATCATGCTTAAAAGTCTGCTTTCCCCCCTGTCACTGTAAAATAATACAGCATTCAATTTACTTTTTTTTCATTATTGAAATTAACATTTTCTTTTTCTTTTTAGACAAACACAAGCGCGTGCACACACACACACACTGTAATAAAATGCAAGTTTATCTATGCATAATTACCCCCCCACCCCCACCCCCCTTCCTTTTAGACTGACATTTTCTTCATTTTTTGTCTGTAGCCATAATTCACTGATATATATATATATATATATATATATATATATATATATATATATATATATATATATATATATATATATACTATTATATAGCAGATTAAGGCTTTCTTTTGAGGTTGCTTAATTTAATCATTAGTTAAAATAAAGACAATGCATTTTGCACTAAAAGAACATACTTTTAGCAACCAAAAATCCCAAACTGTGTCGACATTTTTTTTTAAATCCCAAAAAAAAAAAAAATCTGAAATAAAAAAAATCGATTTTTTTTATTTTTATGAAAAAAATCAAAAAAATCACCAACCCTGCCGAGAATATCTAAACTAAATGAACATGTAAAACTATAGCATCTGACTCACATTCCATTAAAAAAACCAGAGCTATACGTAAAAAAAACTTATTGAATACAATTTCTTGAATGAGCACATATTTAGCTCGATGTCCTTTCCTCCTCTTTCACAAGCAAAAACAAAACAAAAATTGAGAGACAACCACAGTGTCAACTAAACAATAAATCTGCTTCTCTGAAGAAAAAAAACAATCCCCTGATTTCACAGATTTCAAGACGGCCAAAGCTGTAATACCTGTTCCTTTAGTGTGATCCCCGGAGGGGCCTGTCTGTAGGGACAGGGTACTTCCTGAGTGTCGTTGCCATGTCGTTGCTGACACGGTGTTCGTCCATCCACACAAACCAGACTCAAAGTCACAGTTAAAGTTAGCTGAAAGCACAAGATCACCTTTGTAAGCAACGTTAATTCTCGCCTCTATAATAGCCTTAACTACTTTAATTAACCCTTTTCCTGTTGAAGCCACACCATTGTCGGACGAAACAAATTGCTGCACTGAGAGTGAAGAAAATGGGTGAACATCTACAGTCAGAATTTAATCAATTTTACTTCCTTTTAACACAAAAGAATGTAAAGACAAGGGGGCTGCTCAGTTGAAAAGTGAACTTAAACAAATGGCCACCACTGCTGATAAAGAATATGAACAAGAAAAGGTTAAGCCCTGTGCATAACAAGTAACTGGGCTGTTGATGCTAATTTTACCCAAATCCTGGCTTTCTGATCTTCCTGATTCAGAAGAGGGCCTTTCATTGTGAAAAAAACTAAGTGGGCCTAAATCAGCACATGCGACCAAATCATGTGTGAAAGAGTGCACATATGTTGGTATCTCACAACAGAATTTTGACAGAAACTAGCATTCTACTTGACAAAAAATTACTGCCTGTTTCTGCCCGATAATTCAGCTTCTGCTCTTCTCACCAGTGAACGGGTGCTACGCACTTTTGTTGCTGAAGCTCACCACCGGAGTACCAGTGCTACGGGCTCAGAGGGCTTAAAGGAGAAGGAGATGTACTAACCTGGGATGTTTGCTGGCACAGTGACAGGAGCAGTTGTAGTGGGGGCAGCGTAAGCTGCAGTTGAAGGGGTCAAAACACAAGGACTACCACCAGGAACATACTTGAGGTCATCAATTCCAATGTCTCCCTGGAAGGAAGAGCCCGCTACACCTTCAATGACGATCTGGAAATAGATATCAAAAATTTTAGGTCTTTATTGTCTTCGGTGCTTCCTTTTAAAAAACAAAACAAAATAAAAGCATTTTTTATTATGACACAGGAAGAAACAAAGTAGAGAGCAGAGAAAAAAGAACTCTCTCTCTCTCTCTCTCTCTCTCTCTCTCTCTGTGTCTCTGTGTCTCTGTGTCTCTCTGTCTCTGTCTCTGTCTCTGTCTCTCTCTCTCTCTCTCTCTCTCTCTC